ATAGCCTCGTCGTTGGACTCAGAGGCTCCAGACAACATTCCTATTCGTTTCGTGCATGCTCTAACTATCAATTCAGCCGAACAGGCCGTAAATGTGACTCAACCAGATTCTTGGATGACTCCCATTTTTCAATACCTCAAGGATGAGACCTTGCCAGATGACAAGGTCGAGGCAAGGGTCGTGCGAGCAAGATCTGCTCGTTACACACTCATCGGGGACCAGCTATACAGGAGAGGATTCAGTGCCCCTCTCCTCCGATATGTAACCGGTGAAGAAGCAGACTACATCATGAGGGAAATTCACGAAGGGATTTGCGGTAATCACACAGCTTCTCGATCTCTTGCGAACAAGGTTGTTCGTCAGGGATATTATTGGCCCCGGATCCAAGAAGATACGCACAATTTTGTCAAGAAATGTGACAAGTGCCAGCGGTTCGTGAACATTCCGCGAGCCCCCTCACACAAGCTGATAACGATGTCTAGCCCCTGGCCATTTTCCATGTGGGGGATCGACCTTATCGGTCCCATGCCAGTTGGAAAGGGAGGGGTCAAGTATGCCGTGGTCGTGGTAGATTATTTCACAAAATTGGTGGAAGCCGAACCGTTGGCCGCGATCACGACCAAAAAGCTAAAAGACTTCTTTTTCAAGAACATAGTGTGCCGCTACGGAATTCCTCACACCCTTATCTCGGATAATGGAAAGCAATTCGATAACGAGGAGTTCAAGCAGTTCTGTGACGAGCTGGGCATCCATAAAAAATTCGCCTCAGTCGCCAGACCGCAAGCAAATGGCCAAGTTGAAGCTGTCAACAAGACCATCAAGCACACTTTAAAGGCCAAACTTGGGGCAGCCAAAGGAAATTGGGTTGATGATCTCCCTGAAGTCTTATGGGCGTACAGGACAACTCCAAGAACTTCCACCTCAGAAACCCCTTTTTCGCTAGCCTATGGCTGCGAAGCAATGATTCCTGTAGAGGTGGGAACTGATTCTCTTCGGAGAGACTTGTACGACGAGGCTGAAAACAAAGCACTTATGAGGGCAAGTTTGGATCTCATTGAAGAGCACCGCAGCAAGGCTTTGCTAAGGATAGCAGCCTACCAGCAGCGAGCAAAGAGGTTTTTCGATTCAAAGGTCAAGCGAAGAGACTTCCAGGTCGGAGACCTTGTGCTAAAGGAAGTTCTCCTTGGGACCAAAGAGCCAAGTGCGGGGGTACTAGGACCTAACTGGGAAGGACCGTACCGGGTCGACAAGGTGATCAGACCGGGGACTTACCATCTCAAAAGATTGAACGGTTCCAAAGTACCCCGAGCTTGGAATGCCGAGCACCTCTGGCCATACTATCAGTAATCCCGAACTCAGCTCTCAAATTAGTTTTTGTTAGTTTCCTCTTTAATGTAAAGTATTATTTTGTTCGCTGGAAACAGTTCGCATGTATTTTGTTCGCGTGTAAGAATTCGTATGTAATATTGCCTATGTAAAACTGAATTGTAAACTGTACTTATGTATGAAAAAGCGAACAGCAATTGAAAGCAAAATGTATTTTCATTTATGTACAAACAAAAATTAAGACCCAATCTCAATGGAGTCAGACTCGTTACATTATGGCTGGTTGGGGGGATCCTTCGAGGCAAGACCAAAACCCTTTGCCTGGTCGGATCGTCGAGTGGCCGTTACTGCTTGATCATCTTCCTCTGCTAGAATCCGCAAGGTCTCTTGCCACCCCTCCGGGAGGTCAAAAATATCCAGATCTAGGTTCTTTGATCGCAGGGAATAAATAGACCCGATTGCCCAGTCTGCGGCCTTATCCTCGATCTCCTCTGAATGGATCCGCATTTCTTTAGTCAGTGAAGCGATTTTTTCCCGACTCTCTTGGAGTTCGGCCTCGAGAGCTTGCCTATCCTTTTCGGAGGCCTCCCTTTCCTGTTCAGCTTGTTGAGCCCATATGGAGGTCGTCTGGATCTCCTGGTCCTTTTCTCCGACCTCCTTAGAGAGCCTAGCGATTGTCCTTTGAAGTTCCTTCACTTCCTCTGCACGTCGCTCAAGCTCCACCTTTTGGAAGTCCACTGTTCGTGAAGCAGCATCCTTTTGGTTTAGATACCTGTTTGCCACTTCGAATGCTTGCGTTCTTTCCGCTTCGATGGACTCCAGGCTCTGTTTGAGCTTCGCGACCTCCTCCTTTAGGTCGCTTGCCCCCTTCGCGGCCCCCAGTCGAGTCTTCTCCATAGACATCCTCATCGCAAGCAAAGCCTGTGAGCAAGAAATGAATTAGAACGAAACTTTAAGTACAACTCGTTTACCTTGCTTAGATGGTGGAACAACGTGGTTATCAGGTCATTGCCCGTATCAGCGAACTCATCATACGACTCCGATCTCGAGCAGAGAATAGACTATCGCTGCAGGTATTCGGGTAGGCTCCCCAATGAGTCCAACACTGGTGCGTCCTTTGCCTTGTCAACAGCGATCGCCTCGCTCACGGGTTCCTTACCCGATCTCCTTGAGTCCTGTCGTGACCTCAAGGGTTCTTCCTCAGATTCGGTCTCTGACTCATCGACCTGAATCTGCTTCCTCTTCTTCGACCTTTGGGCCGGAGCCTTCCGCCTTGGGCGAGCAGGTGGTGCTTGAGCGACCTGTTCTGTCCTGGTCGCTTCTTGTACAGGACGGGGCTGGGAAGGAGCAGCTGTTCGCACTGGTTGTGCCGCAATGGGACGAGTAGCTTCGGCCGCTCTCTCTCTTCTCGATCGAGGGAAGACAAACGGTGCTTGGAGAGGCTACTCGGACTCTTTCGGAGGCATAGTTGCTGCATGCAAGTACATTAGTAAACAAGATTATTCTGCGACCAGAAGGGAATTAGTGTAACTTACCTTCTAGGGGCTCTAAAGAGGCGTTGTTACTGATAAAATCGTACTTCCGCAAGTTCACGGTTGTCACGAGCTTCCTCGTATCCTGGCTTCCCTTGGGAAGGACTCCAAAAGACACGAGCCTGTCTGGGTCGTCGAGCAGGTCTTGGCTGGTTGTTCTATTAACTGCAAAAGAAGGAAGGTCGTTATGATAAAGCATGCGAACAGACAATGAACCTAGCGAAGAAGAACCTACTTGGTTTCTGAAAGCGGCAGTAGCCGTCATGGCAGAAAAAAAGAATTTTGTCTCGTAGGCCCCCACGTTGCTGGAATAGCTATGTATCCTATCGGCAATGGTAGGTCGCCGGGACAAGTAATACGAATCCTTGTCCCTACTCTTTTTAAGATAGTAGGCGATACCGAGTTCCACCACCGTTGGCTCGCCCAAGCCACTCTCGCAGCACGCGATGTACATCGCGACGGTGATGATATACGCGCTTGGCGTCAGCTACATCGGTACGATCCCGAAGTGATCCAGGACCGACCTGATGAAAGGATGGAAGGGAATCATCCCTCCACCCTTGAAGATCTCTTTGGAGATCGCAGCAAGGCCATCTGAAGGATGCCGTGACGACCGGGTGTTGTCGAGGAACACCTCTGCGTGGACGTTGTACTGCTTTTTAATCCTATCAAACTCTTCTCGGGTGAGAACCGAGAAGACGTCAAGGGATGCGTCCGCGGGAACGTCCCACGAGGATGAGCCGGTTCCTTCCTCGGGTCTGGACGTCGATGGCTCCATTCCAGAGTCTGCAACACCGATAGACACCGTCATTTTAGCCTTCGCATGTTGTCCCGTGCGGCGGCATGGGACAAATTCCTTAAACCCTAATAGTAACTCGAGCTGCCACCCACGGCTCGAATCTAACGGTGGCGTCGTGTCTCTGGTGAAACACCAGGAGACCCAATGCCATTGCCCACCAACCAAGCAAAAAAAAAAAAAAAAAAAAAAAAAAAAAAGGATCTTACCTTCTGGGACGCGTGACCAAGGCCGAATCTTGTTTCAGATATCTAAGAGGCGCCAATCGGAAAAGAAGAACTTCTGGTTTGCAAAGGCTTATCACTCAAGGCAAAAGGATTTTGGTGGCATCATCTGAAAAATGTGAGCTGTTATATGGACTGCGAATCGACGGTTACCACCTCTTGGAACTGAAACGACAGCCTTCTCTCTCTCTCCTCATTAAATGCGCCCCATGTCACATTAAATGCCATGATGAGGGTCGTCGTTTCAAATGCGTTGTGCAATTAATGCTGTCAAAACAACGCCGGGTCAGCACACAACGCATTTAATGCGCCTGCCAGACGCTGCAGCATGTGCAGAGCGCCTGACAGTGCAAAAGCAGGTTCATTGAATCTCCAACCCTAAGGCACGGAAAGGAACGTCCGACCACTCCAGGTCGCTAGGATGATGATTGTCAGGTCGTTTAGGCAAAAATTGTGCAAGGTCGTGTTCGCAAAAGGCCCTATCCCGAGCTTCTTCCATGCAGGTCGAAATTGCTAGAACCTTCAATCGCGACATGACTTAGTTTCCAAGGTTTGATCCTCAAACCTTAAAAACTAGGGAACTTCTGTTATGCCTGGGAAAACAAGAGCTGACGTGAAAAGTCACGTGATGAAGCGTGACCTGCTCCCGTCAAAATGATAAGTGCACGACAGGCCTGCCAAGCGCCATGGAGCTCCCACGTGTCCATTTCCCTGCTCCAAATCGTGTGAAATCAGCTTGGGAAGTGGGCAATGGGACGTAAAGCCGGATTATGTCCTGACATTCACACCAACCCAAGGATTTAATGATGATTACACGTATTCAACTTGATATAAAAAGAGGAAGACCCCTTCATTAAGGGGATTCGGCTATTCTACACTTGAACTCTCTCTCTCTAAGAACTTTTTATTTACTTTTCCCAATCATTTGTAAGTCAGTCCGCTTTTGCGACCTGACCCGCCATATTAATACAAATAAGTGGACATAGGACTTGCTACCTTAGCATCCGAACCACTTTAAACGCTCTCATTGCATTTATTTTGTATTCTCTATCCATAATCACGTGTGTTTCTTGACCAATCAGCGTTGCGCACGTGTCGATTAGTTGGTGTTAGAATCTCGCATCAACACTCACAAAAGCTTAAGTCAAGATAAGATAACTTAGAAAGGTTTACTATGCTTGTTGGAATGCTCTCGAAAAAGTTTCTGCCAAGAAGTAAAGTTTCTAGTGAGGATAATTGACCAAGATCATTGGGTAATTCCTTGATACAACAGTTGGTCAAATTTAGTTCCATCAAACATCTCAAATGTACAATGGATGATGGCACTAACATTTTTCCAATTCTCTCTGCTTGAAGCACCTTTAAAGCTTCTAAATTTCCTATGTTATCAGGCAATCCATCAAGTTTTGAACACCCTGACAGAATAAGATGTTCAAGAGATTTCAATTTATAGATATTACTTGGGAGATTCTCAAGCATTGTGCAATTTTTAAGATTCAACCTAACTAGTTTCGATAGATTCTCTATTGATGTAGGCAACTCCTCTATTGCAGTTTCATCTAAAAATAACTCTTCTATGTTAGATGAGATCTCTGGATCAAACATCTTGAACTTTGAGCAACAAGAAAGGATAGCTTTTTTAAGAGACTCCAAGTGAATAGATGAGGAAATCTTAAACAAATTCGTACAACCTTTTAGAATCAAACTCTCAAGATTTGGAGCCAACGAAAGATCTTGAATTCTTAGGTTCTTGGAGTAACTGAGGTCAATATGTTTCAACTTATGGAGCTGTAAACAAGAAATAAAAAATTACTAACACAAATTAGTGTTTTTGATGGTGAGAAATCAAAACAGAATAATTAGCTTGCATATCAATGTACATATATATTTACCTGGTGTCCAGGTAATAGTTGTTCAATATTGCTATGAGGCATGTCAAGTGCGATAAGGTTCCTTGGACGAAAATTTGATTGTAATGATTTCAACGGACATCCTTGCCAACAGAGGTATCGTAACTCAGTGGAAATAGAATTAAGGTCTTCGGAAACATGCACTTTATTAATATTATTCTCTTCGTATTGTGGGTTATGTAGTTTAAAGAATCTCAGCTTGCGCATCAATGATAAGGCACCTGGTTGTAAGTATATGATCTCTTTTTGTTTAGACATGTCTAAACATATGCCTTCAATAGCTTTAGTCCCCTGATGATCAAACAAAAAGATAATATATAATTAGTCGCAGATATTTAAGAGCATATCTCAGTAGTGATGGCTAAAGCCTAGCTCAGATTGATAATATATTTTGTCCAACCATCCATCGCCCAAGCTAACACATGGGATAACTGGAAACATAATTCTCAATGCTGATGTTTTCTTAGATCTCATATGCATAAATCAGAAGTCAAAAGTTAAATAATGCCTAAATAATGCCTTTTACAGTATTTTCTTCTAGTACACTATTGATATCTTCGTGATACCATAAACGACTACGTTCATCGGGATCTTTCGTAGATTCTTGTCGGACTATTTCCCAACCCATTTCTTGAAGTAAATCATGTATCATTATCTTGTTATCATTTGATATGGTTACAAGACATATGTCAATGAGAACACTTATCCCAAGTTTTGCATAGAAGCCACAAGCGTCCAGGAATTCTGTTGCAAAATCTTTGTTTTCCCATTTCAAGAAACATACAATATCTAAAAATATGTTCTTCTCTGTATCGTCTAGTCTATCATAACTTACTTTTAACACTTTCTGAATATCCTCATGAGGAATTATTTCTAGTTTACTTATTGCACTTACCCAAACTTCTTTTGATTTGTCAAGTAAAAAGCAGCCCAAAACTTTAAGAGCTAATGGAATGCCTTTAGCATACTCAACCACCCTATCTGACAACGCACCATAGCCCTTTTGGGGATGATTTTGTCCAAATGCATGCCTACTAAAAAGTTGAAGAGCTCCACAATGAGATAATCCCTCAATCTTGTATATATAACGTTCATGCACTCCATAGTTTCTAAGCACTTGTTTATTTCTTTTTGTAATAATAATATAACTTCCTCGACCCAAACAATTAAGATCCCCAATCAAAAATTCTATTTGACTAAAACATGTAACATCATCAAAAATTATGAGAACTTTTTGACTGCCAAGCCTCCTTTTTGCATGGTAAGTGAAAGTCATATTTGAATGCCAGTCATTTATTAGTGTCGAAAGAAGTTCTTGTCGCAAGAGAGTTAATGTATTCTGATTGCTGGATTTCTCCCTAACATTTAAAGCAAAGTAAGAAGCTTCAAACATAGGCCAAATTTTGTTGTATACAGCTTCAGCTATAGTCGTCTTGCCGACACCACCCATTCCCCAAATACCTATCCTATGATTATCATATCTGGCCATCAATTGATAATTATCAAGACCTAGTAAATATTTAATTATGTAGCCAATGCTTGGCTCAATTGCAATCAAGTTATTGTTATCAACTTCGGAAGACAAGTAATTCAACATCTCCAAAATATCACCAACAATTTTCTTTGTAATACCATACAAAGACCTGACAATATGAAACACAAATACTAATAAACATACATAAAACACAAAGAGATAAAATAATATATAAAAGGTAGAGTAACTCATTAATTGATATGTAATTTAAAGGGTAACATCACCTCATTTTATATTCATTTCTTTGTGAGAAAACTTTATGTATAGTACTACACTACTACTTTTAGTTATTAGTGAAATTTAGGAAAATTTTTGTGAAACTCAACATTTTTCAACTAGGTAGTGACCAGACTCTAACGTAAAACTTAATATAAAAGTAAACTAAAAGAGTACAATTATTCTTCTTTCTCTTTTTCCCCTCTTCTTTTTCCTTCTTCCCTTTCCCTGTTCTTTTTTCTTTTCTCTCTCTCCCCCTATTCTTCCTCCATCCTCACCGTCGGTTAATGCCTCCAGAGACTGCCTTGAGGCTAGATCATATTAATATAGGTTGCATAGAAGTCGTATGTGACCTCTTCTGGCTTTGAGATGGTCCAATCTGGCCTCTATGTCACCGAGGGGCCGGATTTGGTACCAGCTTTGTAAGGTCGGATCTAGCCTCTTGATGCCAGCCAAGGCTAGATTTGACTTTATGGCATTGAAAAGGCCCAGGTAGGGTCTTGAGTAGTGCCAAGAGGCCAGATGATGGCCTCAATAGGCACCGACTCGTGGCCTCCAGGCCTTTTCACGGCTGTCACAAGGCCTCCAACAGCCTCCAACAACTGCCATGAGGCTATTGGAGGCATCGCCACGGGCGGGCAGCCATGACTGCGTAATTGGGTGGTTGGGTTTATGGATTTAAAAGTGGCAAAAATACATATTTTGCCCTATTTTCTCATCCATTCAATGATATATAATAGAACGTGACAAGAAAAGAAAAAAAAAAAAAAGAACCTTGAAACACCAGGTATTGAAAAGTGTAGAAATTACGTGGTGGGAGTTGCAGTATAGCCACACAGATTGGCTGCTTTTGTCACGGCATTCCTCCACGCTTGCACCTTTTCTTGAAATTGTTCTTCTGTCATTTGTAGCTTCTCTAACTTCTCTTTATTACAAATTTCGACAAGCCTAGCAAATCCATCCCCGAAAGTATCAGTTTGATTCCTTACATGTGATGGATCTACACAAAAGAAGACTCGTATTACGATCTGTCTGTAAGCTTTCTTGTATTCCATGATCTTCACAAGTTCTTCAAGACACCATCGAGATGAAGCATAACTTTCTGAGAAGATTATAACCGAAATTTTTGAATCTTCAATTGTATTCATAAGAGATGGAGAAATTTCATCTCCTTTGTGAAGTTGGTCATCCATGAAAACATTAATATTGTATTCCCAGCGCAAACGGCCGTGTAAAATGTCAGTGATTGTGGTTCGAGTTTCCTCACCTCTAAAACTGATGAAAACATCGTACTTCTTAGATACTTGAGAAGTAGCAGAAGAAGAAGATGAAGCCATCTCAACAAAATCAAATCAAAACACCATTTCAAGAAACCATATTTGTTATGCCCAAAAAATACGAGGGGTGGCGTCAGGTCCACTCAGCCCACAAAGGTCAGACCATTGGGACAACCACCGTCTGTTCCCGTCAGGATAGCGGGTGTGCGTCAGGCTAGCCAAGAGCTGTGGTGCTCCCACGTGTCCAAGGCCTGCTCTAAATCACACAAATCTCTCTGGAAGGTGGGTAATGTGACATAAAGAAGGATTTGCACAGATAATCCCACCAACTTAAAGATTTAGTAATCATTGCCTCACCACATCTCACTATAAATTGGAAGCTCATCTCTCATTAAGGGGGATTTTTGGCACATTTTACGCTCAATTAACTATCCTCTCTTCCCTAGAATTCTTAGTTTTCAATATCTTGTAATATTATTGTAAAGTCAGACCGCTAAAAGCGACCTGACCCTTGTCATCAATATAAGTATCAGTGGACGTAGGATTTGCTACCTTAGCATCCGAACCACTTTAAAAATTGTTCTCATTGCATTTACTATCCCTTGATCCATTACATTCACGTGTGTCTTCTGGGCCACCACAGCATTTCACACGTGCGTTTCGTTGGTACAAAAATCGTGCATTAACAGTTTGGCGCTAGAAGGAGGGCTGATTTAGTGTTCATCCTTCATCAGGAGAATCTCCAACTTACCAGTCCTACAGCAACAATGGCTCGCCAACCAGAACATGAGCAAACCAGCCAAGGCGTTGAGGGGCTCCCCCAAGTTCAAGGAGATACTTCTTCCAAAAAACCTTCAGCCCCGCAAAATACTGTGGGAGATATCCCGTCAAGCTCGCAGCTTGACCCCGCTATAAGAGGCTACCTGGAGAGGTTTGACAATACTCTCCAGACGGTCAACCAAAGGTTGGACCATTTGGACCAGGGCACGCCATCTAGGTCAGCTGTGGCAGTACAACCACCAAAAATGCCTGTAGGTCGCGCGAAAGCGCGGCAAAGGGAGATAGCCCGTGCTGCGAGCACTGCAGCACGTAGACGTAAGGGTAAGCAAGTGACAAAAAACAAGCCCACGGGCTCCAAAGGGCCAGCAAACACCGACCGCGTCCCAAACAAAATACCAGTCTCGTTGAGACTCGGTGAAAAGATACAGCCCGAGCTGTCCCATGCCACGTCGCAGGCGCACACCCATAAAAGTGCTAGACGGGGCGATTCTTATCACCATCAGCAAAGCAATCCTGGTCGTCACCGTGCCAGAGGGTCCCACACTTCGTAGCGCGGTTCTTACCACTGCGAAGGTCGTGAGAATACCCCGCACATTTCATCACCATCACACGCCTCCAATCAGCGTGTGTCAAGAGTGGTTGGAACTGCCGGCCGAGGCGAAGAGGAACCCGACCTCCGGACATTCCTCAATCATAACCGCGAGAATCGAACCCGCATGGGTGAAAACAACCCCCAAGCGGCTCCATTATCGTAAATTGAGGAGCTACAGCGAGCTCTAGACAGGCTCAGGGCTTAGCAAAATGAGCAGGGGTAGGTTGCATCCGCGTCCCCTTTCTTTCCCAAAGTGTTAGCTGCACCACTCTCGCCGGGATTTAGAATGCCCGACATGTAGGCGTTTGATGGAAACTCTGATCTGCAGGATCATCTATACGAGTTCAACGACCTGATAGAGCTTCACCAGGTCTCAAACTTGGCAAAATGCCGCTGTCTGGCAGTGACATTGACCTCCCACGCCAAGCAATGGTTCAGGTCACTCCCAGCAGGATCAATCATTTTATGGCCTCAGATAAGCGCGACATTCCTAAGGCATTTTCAAGCGAATCATAAATTTTCTATGCCTTTGAGCTACCTCAGCAACATAAGGCAAGAAAGGGATGAATCCCTGTAGTCTTACATTGACTGTTTCCATAGAGAACTCAATAAGGTGGCTTATACTCCCAAGGAGTCTGTTCGAACCCTTATCATAGCCGGGTTCGCCCACAAACCGACCTGTGAAAAGAGTTACAAGCTGAGGATGATGTTTCCCTCATAGGGTTCTACAACCTTGCAGAAAAATATCTCCGAATAGAGAATTCATTGGTGGCACTTTGTCGTCGCGATCTCGACACTTCGAGCAGTATGTCTGGTCGGGGAGAAAGTAGGAGAGCTGATCGCAGAGGAGACGTTGACGATCAGCGAAAAGGGAAGAAACCCTGCTACGAGCACAAAAAGTCCTATGCCCCTGTTCCTCGTCGCGATCGCGACAGAATCCAACATACTCCGCTGAATGTGTCCATATCTGCCATTCTTGACAAATCCAAGAGGCCAGCCTGCTCGGTGGGCCAGAACCCATGAAAACTCCTGCGACGGCCAGAAACAGCAAAAAATACTGTCGCTTTCATCAGGACAATGGGCACCACACAGATGAATGTCGAGCTCTAAAACAAGCAATCGAAGAGCTCACTAGAAAGGGCACTTCAAAGAGTATATTGATGACTCCGCTCCCGCAAAAGAAAAGAACCAAGAGGAACAAAGGAAAAAGCGTCATGATCGCAGAGGATACAGTAGCATCAACATTATCTTTGGAGGACTGCACCTCGCGGGAAACATGCAAGGTGCACAGGAAAGGTACGCTCGCGAAGCTCATCATGACCCAATCAGGGTGATGAACACCTTGTACCGACCACAAAAGGCTCGAAAGGAGGAGCCTATCACCTTCTGCAAAAAGGAAGCAGCTCGCCTATATCATCCCCACGACGACGCCCTTGTAATCACACCCCTCATAGGGCACCATAACGTCCGCAGAATGCTCGTGGACAATGGAAGCGCTGTGAACATTCTGTTCCAGACCGCTTTCGAAAGAATGAACCTGGAGGAGGCTGACCTGAAGCCTACCTCGATCCCTCTATATGGCTTTACAAGGGACCACCTGATCCCCAAAGGAACGATCCAACTCCCGGTAACACTGGGCGACTATGACGAGGTGACTAAGGTAACTGAATTCTTGGTCGTGGATTGCCCCTCTGCCTTCAATGGAATCCTGGGGCGACCTCTCCTAAGAAGCTTCAAGGCAGTCACTTCTATATACCATCTCAAGATGAAGTTCCCCACCCCAATAGGGATAGGGGAAGTGAGCGGATCGCAAAGCGCATCTCACGACTGCTACATAAAAGCGGTGCAGATACCATGCAAAGGAAAGGGCGTTTCGCGAAGTACGCCCCGACAGGCTATGGCGATCAACAGGATCAAACCGCAACCTGGCCCAACAGAGGATAATATGGATCCTCGAATACAGGAAATCCCTTTCAGCGGCCTAGTTGGGGATTTGTCCGAAGTATTAGTCGACCTGAAAGAGCTAAGCCTAATGTTAAGAATTGGGGGCAGCCTCAACCCTCAGCTCGCGTCCGAACTGATAAGCTTCTTAAGAGAAAACATCGATGTGTTTGCCTAGTCACATGCAGATATGGTCGGGATCGGCCTGGACATCATTTGCCATGCGTTAAACATTGACGGCGAAGCCAAGCCAGTTCACCAGAAAAAAAGAGCAATGGACCCAGAGTGGTATGCCGCATTAAAAGTGGAAGTGGAAAACCTCCTTTGAAATAGGTCCATTTGAGAGACACTCTACCCGACCTGGGTTGCCAATCCGGTCCTGGTAAAGAAGCCAAATGGCAAGTGACGAACCTGCGTCGATTTCAGCGACCTCAACAAGGCTTGCCCTAAAGACAGCTTCCCTCTGCCAAGAATCGACCAGCTCGTGGATGCCACCTCGGGGCACGAGCTGCTAAGTTTCATGGATGCATACTCGGGATACAATCAAATTCTGATGTATGGGCCAGACGAGGAGCATATGTCCTTCATTATAGAACGGGAGCTGTATTGTTACAAAGTCATGCCTTTCGGCCTCAAGAATGCTGGCGCAACCTACCAGCGACTGGTTAACTGAATGTTCTCCGACCAGATCGAAAAAACAATGGAGGTCTATGTGGATGACATGCTGGTCAAATCCCAAGTCGCCTCAGAGCACATTGTGCATCTCGTTGAGATGTTTGACATCCTCCGACTGTACAAAATGAAGCTGAATCCTCTCAAGTGTTCATTCGGGGTATCGTCAGGAAAATTCCTGGGGTACATGGTTAACCAGCGAGGGATAGAAATAAACCCCGAGAAGATTCAAGCTCTGCTCGATATGGAGAGCCCGACTAGTAAAAAACAAGTCATGTGTCTAAATGGACGAATAGCAACACTTAGTCGCTTCATATCAAGGCTAACAGATCGCTGCTTACCATTCTTCAATGTACTAAAGGCCAATAAGAAGTTCAAGTGGACACCCGAGTGCGAACAGGCGTTCCAAAGCATAAAAGAGCACCTCGGGAAACCACCTCTCCTGTCCAAGCCTTTTCCACAAGAAATCCTACTCCTGTACCTGTCCGTCTCTCAGTTCACGGTTAGTGCAGCTCTAGTACGGGAAGAGGAAAAGGCGCAATGGCCAGTGTACTATGCGAGCAAGCGTCTACCGGATCCGAGATATGGTATCTAGAAATGGAGCGATTAGCCTATGCCCTACTGATTGCTTCCAGAAAGCTGCGACCTTACTTCCATGCCCATACCGTACATGTGATGACCAATTACCCACTTAAGCAAGTCCTTCAGAAGCCAGAAGCATTGGGTAAATTACTTAAATGGGCAATAGAATTGAGTCAGTTCGACCTGAAGTGCAAGCCAAGATCGACTATCAAAGGGCAGGCAGTTGCTGACTTCATCTCAGAATTTTCCTATCTTCCAAGCAAGCAACAGCCCGGCGAAGCCATCTAGGAAAGTATTCAGAACCTATCGACCTGGAGCCTCTACGTCGATGGGTCGTCAAACAGAAAAAGGGCCGGTGCAGGTCTTCTCCTTGTAAGCCCCGAAGGGGCTGGAATTCATGGCATTCTCCGGTTCGGATTTAAAGCAACCAACAATGAGGCTGAGTACGAAGCTCTGCTTGCCGAGTTGCAACTGACCAAAGAAATGGGTGCAA